AAAAAAAAAATATATATATATATATAGATAGATAGATAGATATAGATATGTCACACTTTCCACAAAAATATTAAGCAGCACAACTGTTTTCAACATTGATAATAATCAGAAATGTTTCTTGAGCAGCAAATCAGCATATTAGAATGATTTCTGAAGGATCATGTGACACTGAAGACTGGAATAATGATGCTGAAAATTCAGCTTTGCATCACAGAAATAAATTATATTTTACAATATATTCACATAGAAAACAGCTATTTTAATTTGTAATAATATTTCACATTATTACTATTTTTATTGTATTTTTAATCCAATAAATGAAGCCTTGGTGAGCATAAGAGACTTTTCTCAAAAATGCATATATTAAAAAAAACAACAAAAAAAACCTTTTGAACAGTAGTGTAAGTTCTTCTGACTAAAATCTGAATATCTTTCAAAGATTTGATGTTACTAATCTGGAAAACTGACATTTTAATCTTATTTTATGTTGAAAAGCACTTATTGTATAAACCCTTATAAACATAACTTTTCTTCATAACATAAATCATAATTTGTATGGCCTTCCAGCTTCACAAAACCAGATGATCGGGATGGAAAAGGTGATTTCAGTCAGCATTTGGCATTTTTGAGTGCAATATGCATCAGACGGTTAGTAAACGTGCTGTGGGCGTTCTGTGGAGCGACCGTCTGATGTTAAGGCTGCCCTGTCACTAACAGTCACTCCTCATAAAGTCATTTTTTTCTAACAGCCTGTGGTTTTGATGGCAGCTCACAGTCTGTGACTCACCTGAGAGAGAGAATGAGTAAAAACAGACTGAGGTTTGTGGATTTCCTGGGTCCTGACTGCACCTGCTGTGGATTAGAAATGCAGCCAGGCTCGTAACGCAGAGCTGAGCTGTCGTGGGAACTCGCGCCGGGCCTCCGAGAGAGACCGAGGCGTCTGTCACCTGAACAAGCTTTGAGTTTTTCTGCTGGATTATCCCACCGCTCCTGACACTCTCAGATTCCTCGCATACTCACCCATCTCGCGGGCAGAGCGAGTGCAAACAACAGATGTGAGCGGGAATTTGAGTTCATGGGGGGCTTCAGTTAAACAAGAACGGTTTAATGCCCCTATCGTTTGGCCATGATCGTCATTAGCCAACTGTGGCGTCTCTCATAACTGGAAGTTGTTCGGTTAATGGAGATGCAGGGGAACACGGATGAACCGTCGTAAAGGTCATCGCCGGTTCTCTCAGGCCTGACCTCCACAAAATGTCACCTAAACGTCAAATAAATATACTTTTATATATGTAATATCTGGAAGTATATTCAGTGCATTCGCTGTTTATAATATATAATATAATAAAATTTGGGGTCAGTAATATTTTTGGTTTTTGAAGAAGTCTCTTATGTTCATTAACACTGCATTTATTTGATTAAAATACAGTAAAAACAGTAATATTGTAAAATATTTTTGCAATTTAAAATTACTGTTTTCTATATTAATATATTTTAAAATTGTATTTATTCCTGTGATGCAAAGCTGAATTTTCAGCATCATTACTCCAGTCTTCAGTGTCACATGATCCTTCAGAAATCATGCTAATATGCTGATTTGCTGCTCAAGAAACATAGTATTATTATTATTATTATTAATAAGTCGCACTGCTTCATTTTTATTATTATATGCTTAACATTTTTATATATATTTATATTTGCTATTATTATAAATGAAATCTATTATATTATCTATTATATAAATCTATTATAATTAGATTATAACAATATTAAATAATATTGAATTATTTAATATAATTCAATATTTAAAAAAACAGCAATGTAACATTGTGTTGTTGTTGTTTTTTGCACAAGCAAAATCTACAGTACACTTATTTTCTGAACTTAAAATAATAGCTGTATTTATATAAAAAGATAACAAATACTCAATGCGTAGTGTCTCGGAGCTCCACTCTTCCATCTCTATCATTTTCTGTGTGTATCATTTTTATTCATTTCTTTGTCCACCAACATTATTTTTGCCGGTTGGATTCTTCACTTGGGTTGATCTTCAGTTTATCTGCAGCTGACATCAGGCCTGTGTTTTTGTGTGCAGGTTAAATGGCCTCCGCAGTGTTAAAAGCGAAATTCTGGAGCCGGTAAAACATCTCACCCAGCTGGACCTGCGAGACAACCAGCTGACGTCTCTGGACCTGAGCTCGGTCTGCAGTCTGGAGACCCTGCAGTGTCAGAGGAACCAGCTGGGAGCCCTGACCCTCAGCGGCTTCACCCTGCGCACACTCCACACCAGTGACAACCGTGAGTACAGACCTCCACAGCATCGTTTAGGAACCAGAGGATTCCATCCACAGGCCTCACCCTGTGTAATCACTATATGATCTTTCATAGGTCTGACCACGGTGAACATCTACCCTGTTCCCAGCCAGCTCACACACATGGACCTATCAAGGTAACTGACATTCATTCGGTGTCCTAATCATTGGTGAAACAAACATTTCTAGCAGCAAATAGTTTTTTCTGTCCAAACTAAAAGCAAAAATGCTGCAAAAAGCACTAAAATCGAAGTCAGTCGAAGCATATATGTGACCCTGTACTACAAAACCAGTCTTAAGTCGCTTGGGTATATTTGTAGCAATAGCCAAAAATACATGGTATGGGTGAAAATTATTGATTTTTCTTTTATGCCAAAAATCATTAGGATATTAAGTAAAAATCGTGTTCCATGAAGATATTTTGTAAACTTCCTACTGTAAATATATTAAAACTTAATGTTTGATTAGTAATATGCATTGCCAAGAACTTTAAAGGCGATTTTCTCAATATTTAGATTTTTTTTTTGCACCCTCAGATTCCAGATTTTCAAATAGTTGTATCTCGGCCAAATATTGTCCTAACAAACCATACATCAATGGAAAGCTTATTTATTCAGCTTTTGGATGATGTATAAATCTCAATTTCGAAAAATGGACCCTTATGACTGGTTTTGTGGTCCAGGGTCACATATGATGTTTAATGCACAATTTTGGACCAGTGACCATTTTATAAGTGACCGAAAAAGTATTTTTGCTGGTTGTGGTTGCAGCTAGTTAATAAATGTTAATTGCATTAAATAATCACAACGTTTTTACAATATTAGCAATAGTACCAAATAATAATAATGTGTAATTTGCCAATATCTCTGTAAACTAATTACATATTATTCATTCACATATTGTTTAGTAATACAACTCTGTACCAGTGTTATCGTTAACTAAAACTAACTTTTTTAACAAACTATTTTTATTATCTTTTATCAGCTAAATATTAACTGTTTGTTAATTGAAATACAGCTGAAATAAAATAAAAAAATTAAACATAAAAAACTTAACATATAACAGAGAAAAATAATACAAATAAACTAATACAAATAAAATAAGTAAATTAATAAACTTAAATTAGTAAAGCTAAAATAAATTTAGGTAAAATAAAAAAAATAATAACAAAAGCACATAACAAAATTTGTGAAATTATGAAATGTGAAAATAAAAAAATGTGCATCTGCACTAGTAATAATAATGAGCAATCACAAATATCTACACTATAAAAATGAATTGCATATTATTCGTTTACATGTTGTTTAGTAGTACGTCTCTGTACTAGTGTTGTTACCTTTAAATAAACGAAGTATTTTTATTTATCTTTTTTAACTAATGCTATTTATTATCTAATAATAATTAAAGATAAACTTTCTTAAATTCAGCTAAAATAAAACAAAATATAAATATTCGATTAAAAACTTAAACTTAAATTACTCTTAACTAAAGTTAAAATAAAGTTCAATTAAAAATGACAGAAGTGCATTACAAAATGACTAATACTTATGAAAACTGAAAATATAAAAATAAAAGCTAATTCAAAATATTAATAAATACTGTAAAAGGATATAAATAATACTAAAATAACACTGCTCTGTACTTAGTAGGGCTGTCAAAATGGCTGAAAAACTAAATTCGAATTTTGTACTTAAATATGATCACAATTCAAATTATATTCGAATTTAAAATGCATAATTTCAGTTAGTTGTTTAAAATAATGTTTATAAACCAATTATAATTAATTAAGTTGCTTAAACAACTATAAACAAAACATGCATATGCATCATGTACGCATAGTTTAATACAAAGGGCGGAAAGCCAATCACACAGAGTACATTTTTCATTTAAAAACATGAGATGCAGTGGGATGGGGGGAAAAACCCACCATAAAGTCTCGATATGTGTTTTTTTCAAAGTTGAACTTGCATTAATTTTACATGGCTTTCTAAACATGCGTCTCCTTTGTGCGAGACGCGAGTGCAATGGTGATAGATATCCCTCTTAACACACACCTAAAATTCAAATGCAACATTTTTGCATTCTAATGTGGATTTTTATTTGAAATTTTGGGCAGCCCTAGTACTTAGTAGTGTACTTGCACTATAACATGCACATTGTAATGCAAATGTGACCAAATGTTGCTCGGCTCATTTACAAGAGGCTCAGCTCGCTCCAGTCATGTCCTTTACCCTGCGCACTCCTGTATAATGCTAATGCTCTGATGTAATTAGCCTGGAGTTAATTCCCATCCCTCCTGCAGGAATCTCCTGGAATACCTGCCAGACTGGGTGTGTGACAGCAGGAAGATTGAGGTGCTGGACATCTCCCATAATCTGCTGTCTGAGCTCCCGGCCAGGTGTGTGTGTGTGTGTGTGTGTAGACTGCTTTTGCATCTTCCTCAGTTTCTAAAAAGAAACTCTCCTCCTGATTCCCCATTCCAGAATCTTAATGTCAGCATTTTGTACTTATTTATTCAACAAAAATTGCCCATTTGATTTGAATGATGTGGGTTAAAGCGACTGTCTGGCCAGACGGTGGATCTGAATAGAAACGGGCCGGCGTTCATCAGCAGACTCTTGATGAGGCCGCTC